CGTCTGCGACCGCTACATCTAGGGACGCCAACCACACAAATGACGCCAAGTGCGAACACGTTATTCCCCTGTCTGTGGCCGCTGACACCCCCGTGCGCATTAATCCAGGCGCTGTGGGCTTTTTCCGCGTCTGCTACCACCCCACTATGCTACCGCCCATCCTCTCCGCGCTCTCCCAGCACCAAATTCCAGAGCGCGACCGTCTAAACCTGCTGGATGATCACTTTGCATTGGTCAGTGTCTCTGTTTCTGTTCTCCGCGCAGTTGGCGCCCTTTCTCCGCTTGTTTTTTCTTAAAGTTATCTCTTTGTAAATGGTCGAAGGTTGGAGAGGTGTTGGGGTAGTGTCCTCTCCCCCTCCCTGTCAGCCGGCTGTGTCCCTTTCCTTATAATTTAGATTTAGATCCGTAGTATGGTTGAACGCTCCAGCTACTTCGCTGGGGCTGTTCGTGGTACCAAAGAAGAAGCATTTCTAGTGATTGTTATTGCCCACACCCCGTCAGAACACTCAATGCCTAGTTCGCACTTACAAAGTGTGCATTTCTCACATTTAGTAAGCAGACTTACCGTGACATTTCGTCTGCTAAAGCCTTCAATGTGGATTGTTTATATGCCCCACCCCCTGGCCAACACACGGGAACAGGAACCGATTTTAAATTCATGTGCATTTGCCGTGAATTCTTAGGAAATATAGGCCAGGGGTTGGAGCTAAAGCAAGGTGAGGGTTACGGTTAAAATTGGCGAAAGTGTTAGGGCTAGTAGGTCTTTTGGGGATATTTACCTTTTGGAATTAAGGGCAAGGCCACTGGTATTACGTCGTGGGGTGGTATCTAAACAGTTTCAAGCATGTTTTGCCCGTAAATGAATGAAGAAAAGGGTTTCGGCGGTCGAGACGTTTTCTTTCCTACAGAAACGTACACATTGAATACTAACATTCGCCTCGGTGCATTTTTCTTCCTTGGGGAATGCCTTGGACGTCACTCCCGTTTGCGATTTCGGAACGTAGCACTGACAGACAGTGGCGAAAAAGCAGTCATAAGCTTACCTTTAACTTATAAGCTTACCTTTAACTAAACAAATTTATGCTTGTCTGCGCAGAATTTCACTGATAAAGTGAAGGCGCAATAACCCTCCACAGTAAGTGTATTTGTCTATACCACCTTCACCTTTCCTACTTGAAACTGCCTGAGACTCATAATTCAGTGTTTTGTTCCTCCTTCATTTGTTCCTCAGGCTCGCGCCGGTCAATGCCCTCTGAAGACTGTGCTCGACCTGACTCGAGCCTACACTGGCGAAGACAGCTACAGCGTGTGGTCAGTTCTAGCCCAGGGACTGGGTTCTGTTCGCGTCCTCCTCCAGGAGATGGCCTACAAGGCCGGCGACGAGGTTGTCTTCTCAGAACTTTCACCGGAAGAGGTCGGTCTCAATAACCTCTACACCCAATTGGCCTTGCCTGTTTACGAGAAACTTGGTGAGTCCGTGGGGCTTTATCTATTCGTAGTGTGGGGTTTTTTATATGTCTACGCAGTCCTCTTCTTCACCTAACACTTTTTCCGTTCTTGTGGCTGGCCGCCAAAAAAATAACTGGTGAAATTGCCTGTTTTCTT